GGGGTCTATTAAATTCTCTATCCTGGGAACTGTCTTCTTAATAGTGCACAAAAATGGTGCATCTTAAAATAGATGGCATCTTACACAGGATGAAATATGGTGAAAAAATACTTGCAACCTTGGGAAAATTATTTATTCTCCTACAGTTAATTTCTTTGGTTTGTAATGATCTCTTCTGGGGAGATGAGACCAAGTGTGGGCTTGGATCTGAGGAATTTCCTAGGGAACATATCCAGTCGCCTCACCAGCAGAAAGGTAAAATGAGTCATCCTGAAGGTGTCGAAGTTTGGGTATTGAGCGTTATTTGGTCTGAAACACATTCTATTGAGTAGCTGAGTAAGAAATGACTAAAATATTTCATGACTGACATTACTTTGTCTCCCCAAACATGATAGAACAGTTGGGCTGATGATTAGGTCCCACCGCTCTAGGGGAGCACTGCGGTCTGCTGGTGCACTTGGGACCACATCTTGCTTCTGAAAATGGTCTCATCACCACACAGAAGAGCCCTCATCCTCCCAGCAATTGAGCCCAGCTGAAGCATGAGGGGCAGGACTGGGGGAGGACCAGGAGAGACGGGAACTTGACCTGGAATCTCTGCCATCCTTGCCAGGCAGGAATCAGGGTTTCTCCAACAAGGACAAATGGAAGGTCAGAACAGACACCCCAAGAATGGTCTTAGGCCTTCCAACTTTCAGACTGTCCCTTTAAAATGATTCCTGTGAAATATTTCTATCAGTGGTCATCTAGTCTAGAGGATTTAAGACCGTACGTTCATGAGAGAGTTAGAATCACAAACCCATTTATTGTCCTTGAAACTGTTTCATCAAAATGATTTTCTGCTACTATTACCAGCTGAGTTTCTGTGGCGACAGATTAATGACTGACCCACTAGGCCACACCACCTCTCTGGTCACCAACTCCACTGAGCGCACCAGCCACTATTCCATCAATAAGCTCCACCTGTCCTAGAAACTCATTATAGCTGGTATGTTAAGATCAAATAAGATCAGATGCTCCCTGCCACCCCAGTTCTCCTACAGAGACCACCAAATCCCACGAAGTGCGCACCACAAGGAAAACGAGCACAGGCTGGTCCTTGTGGTCTCAGGAGAACCACAGACTCATTTCACCCTGGGGTAAAAAAAATGCCAGCCAAGGCAACACTTCTGATTCTTCGGGCCTGCTAAAGGCAATTATCCTAGGGTTAAATGTCAGGGCTAGTTTCATGTGTGCAAAAGAAAGAAAATGTTATGTTTGGGGTAAGCAACAATATTATGTTAATCAAATCAAAAGCTCATTATTAGCAGCATCAATGGCCCCTACCTGGCTTCCCATCCACCTGGCTTCCCATCCACTTTGTCCCAATCTAAGGCTCTTCCCTGATTGTGCTCAGACATGGAGGAGGAAAGACTTGCACCATGGTCTCAACAGAACCTCACACTCAAAATCCACTGAATGGGGAATAATAGTTGCACTTCTCTCTTCCAGGACGGTTATGAATATTGAGATAATATATGTAAAGTAACTTAAATAATATCTGTCACATGAAGTGCTTGCTTATTGTTAAGTATTATCTATTTCTACAATGTTTTAATTTTTAAATTACAACCAGCACATATTACCTTTGCAAGAAAAAATGTATTTTTAAAAATAAGAAAATACAGTAAGAAAGAAGTGTGTGACACCATAAGTTAAAGGATTTCATCCATTAGACAAGAGGTTACCTGACAGAAAAGATCATATTATTTATCTTGCTCACCCCTACAGCCACTGCCTAGCACGTGGCAGACGATCAAACATTCATTGTGATGAATGAACGTACAAATGAATGTAAGAACGAACAGAGGAAATTTTCCTTAGGGGAATGGTTATGGAATGCCAAGTCGGGTTCAGTACAAATCAGGCGAACAGTTGTGGCATCTTGACCCGGCAACCTCAGAGGTTGACAGATGATAGACAAAGGTAATCGGATGACAGCTGGAAGTGGGAAATTATCATGCAACTTAAAACAAACATGTCTTCTTCATCTTCTCCTTAATACCGTATTTGTGTAAGAGTCCAGGTCTCCACCTGGCCCAGTCATCCCAGCTCCTAGTCTTCATAAAAGAATGATAACCAAACTAACAGACCACCAAACACATTTAGGAGCAAACATCTCCTAACATCTGGATGCTGTCACATTTCTCCTGGATTCATCACTCCAGGCAGGAAACTATGGAATAGTTCTGAAAGTTTCACTTCTGGAAAGGAGGTCCTGATTATTTGTGTACTGAGAGCACCAGGACCACTTCGCAGGGGAGCATGGAGCACACACCTGCCGCCATTTCCATTCCAAAGTTAGCCCAATACCACCACCGATGGGCACTGCCAACCCTCTCAAAGGAGCCCTTTGTTTTTAGTTTCACAAGTTCAGGAATCACTTCTAAATATGTCTCCCCCCAAGGGCAAAAAAGTGGCGAGTCAGGGGGAAAAGCAAGAAGATCTCTTTCATGTTGACTTTGAAAACCAAAACATCGTAACAGTAATCTCAGGGCAGTTATCATTGCTATCAGGGGCTTCAACAAAACAACTAAAACAACAGCAGAGAAGCTGAGCTTTACCAGCCTCAAGCAAGACCTGGCTCCATGGAAACCATCGCTGCACCATCAGCTGGGGCTTTGTCCCACCCAATAGCTGGTTCCTACAGGCAGCAACCTTTTACTCCTTGGTCCCAGGGAACCAGGCTTTGTGGTTATTCCAAGGAAATGACCCAGCCAAAGACACTCGGACTTGGCCTAGGGAGCATCTCGTTTGAGTTTCACACCACTTTAAAGAGGTCTGTGGCATTTCTGCCTGAGCCACTGCTAACATCAGAAGATCCCCCAAAGCAGATGACATGGTGGATGACTGAAGATGCCTGGGATTTAACATTTTTATATGTTTTTCATGGTATGCTAGATTATGTTATCATTTTAAAGAATATAAGCTGTTAAAAATATTAGGTAAACACCTAAAATTGCTTGGAAACAAATTAGCAGTGCATTTGAACACAGAAGCCTTTTTCTTTTGCTAAGCCTTGGACATTTTTACAATATTTAAGGCAGAAGTTCCCAAACAAGTTAAGAATTACCTGGAATGCTTGTTTAAAATATAGGATTCTGGCATATGGCATTGGAATCTCCAGGGGGGAGCCTGGGTGCTGAGATTTAACAAGCACCCTAGATGAGCTTCATGATCAGTCAGGTTTGGAAAAACACTGATTCAAGGACAAAAGAACGTTACCATTTGCAAGACAAGAAATGAAGAAAGCCCAATTTTAGAAATTTAAAGCTGGAGGGGAAATAAGAATAATGTCATGCTTTTGATACACCAAGAACAGACACCCTTGCAGACACGAAAGCACAATGAACCTTTCCACACCCCGAAGACCAGCAAGCACGGCTGCTTTCCATCCACCAGCCCCACGCACACCAAGGCGTCCACAAAGGTGCCCCCACCTCCTCTGCACCTGGCCCAGTTCTCCCATCTCCAGCCGAGTTAAGCATCTGCCTTGTCCCTTGACTCTATCTAAAATGTACTAATAAAAGAAACAAAAAAAGCAAATTTATTTCTACCCTCAGTGAGTCCATTAATGGGAGCTTCCTTGAGGCATATTTGGGGCAGTTTGCCCTTCTTTTTCTGGCTGCAAGATGCAGCCCAGGAACCTGACCACTGGCAAAGGTAGTCAGCTCCTCGTAGCCAAACAGGAAGGGGATCGAAGATGGTTCACAGAGCATCCAGGAGCAGGGGCAGGTGTGGCTGGGGTCTGTCAGCTGCAAGAGTCAGGCCCCAAATAACTGAAAGTTCATTGAGTGTTTGAAAGCCCCTTTCAAAGAAAAGAGAAGCTGCCATGGTCGACTAGAGAGAAGGGAAAGAGGAACAGAGAGGAGAAGAGCCAGCCCCCACTTAAGGCCATGGGTGCACCTGTTCCTCCGGAATGGGACCTGGAGAAGTGTTCTTCAGAAAGTACCAGAAAACATCTGGATTCACTGAATTTCTCAAACTCTCTTCTGCAAGGCCTGCAGAAGCCAGGACTGGGGCTGAGGAGAGTCTGGTGAAGGAGGGTGACTCCCACCCATCTCCCACCTCAAAGAGCCCTGTGCCCTGTGCCCACAGGGGCTCTGCAGTATAGGTCTCTCAAGGACAGGAATTCCTAATGGTAAGTCCACTCCTGGTCCTCTGGAAGCGCACGGCCCCAGCCACCCAGAGCAGCCTTGGAAAGAGCTGGCAGCTGCTCCCAGAGCACAGAGGGGATGCCATCTGCTGGAAAGACTGCGCCAGGTGCCTCTTGCCCCACACCCTCTGGGGCGTACCTGGGGACCAGCAGCCAGCCTTGGGGCAGAAACAGGCAGCAGATGTGTCTCTGGGTGCCCAGGAATAACTTGTCTCCTCCCAGGGCTTCCCCAAAGGGGCAATCCTCTGCCACCAGGCTCCTCTTCAGGGCAGGGGACAACTCCACAGAGCCGCCTGCTCCCTTTCCCTTCCAAGACGCCAGCAGCCAAAGCCACCACACTCCCCCAACCCCAACATTTCATCAGGCCCATTACCACCACCCTCCAAGCCTCTTGAACATCTGGCCCCCTACTAAATGAGCTGGGCTCACCCCTAAACCTAACCCTGCAGCAGGGATTTTTCCAGCACACCCTAGAGATGGTCCAAGTCACCGCTGCCCCACAGAGGTTCTCCAGAGGGCTTGACAAGTCAACCACCACCCTTAGAAGAACTCAGAAGCTTAGGAGCCTCTCTCCCCGCAGCTGCTCGCTGTTCGTACCAGCGCCGTCCTACAGAAACGCACACCTAGACAAAGGTAACAGCGAAGAGCATCAAGCCTTGGAAGTTCTCTTTAAAGTTCCTCTCAGGCAAGACGCAGCCCGGGCACCCGACCCCCAGGCTGCCGCGGGAGGTGTGCACCGATCCCCTCCGCACCCCGCCTCCGGGGCGCTCCCTGCCCCCGCGGGCCGGGCAGCCGCGGTACTCACGTCTCGGAAGCGGTTCCAGTACTTGTCCCGGTCGTACTGGGAGACCGTGCTCAGCCACTGGTCATTGTCCAGGAAATTGCCGTGGTTGGGGCCCGCGCCTCCAGCAAGCGCGTCGGGGTGCCGGCTCTCGACCTGCAGGAAGCACCACGCCGCCGCGGCGGCCGCGAGCACCGCGATCGCCGGCATCTGCGGGGCAGGGGACGCGCGGGGCGGTGAGTCGCGCGGGCCGGGCGGCGGCGAGCCCCTCGCGAGGCACCGAGGTCGCAGAGCCCCCCGCCACCGGGCCCCGCTGCAGGGGCGGGGGTCCCACGGCGGGCACGCGGTCAGCCCTCGCACACCTGGGGTGCCTACCGCGGATCTGGAGACCCGGGGACCCGTCTCACGAATGGGGGGCTCGGTCACAAACGGAGAGGCTGCGTCACAAACCAGGGGCCGCTGGCAAACTACAGAGAACCCCGTCACCTATTCTCCGGGGCGCTGCTGACCTCTACGCTCGGGACCCCTCCCCAGAACGGAGAGCCCCGAATCGGCAAACCTCACTACCGTGGACGGCGCCCGGCGCTGCGGGGCAGGAAAAAGAGGGCCGGCTCCGAGCAGCTGCCCGGGCTCCGGTGGGACCGGGCGCGAGGGGTCCCCGCGGCTGGGGGGTAGGGGGACACCCCTCGCCCGCCCGCCGCCTCTGCAGAAGGGGGTGCAAAGATACCCCCGGCCCGACCCCGCCAGCCCGCGGTGGTCGCGAGGGGGTCCCAGCCACGCCAAGTTGGGGCGCGGGGCTCCACGGGGACGTACCGTGGGGGCCGGCACGGTCCCCGCGTCCGAGTCCCCGAGCTCCCGCGGCGCGGTCCGGGGAAGGCTGCTCTCCCTGCTCCCGGCGCTCCCGCCACCCTCCGCCGCGCGTCCGGCCGCCGTGTGAGCCCGCCGCGCACTGGCTCCGCTCGCTCCCCGGCTCGCTCGGGCGCGGCGCCCGCGGGCGGAGGGGCCCGAGCGCACGAGCCGAGGCCTCTGGCGACCCCTGGCGGCCGCGCGCTGCTGTGCGGCGGCCCCGCCGCCCGCGAGTGGGGACCCACCCCTTACCGCAGGGCTGAGGCCGGCTTCCAGACCTAGGCTGGTGGGCGGCCGCCGAGGGCCTGGGGCCGTGAGGCCGAGCAGCCGATTGGCGTTGAGACACTCTCGAAAGAAAGGTCGTCGGGCCCCCTGGATCAGGACCGCGTTGGTTGGGGGAGGAGGGCCATCTTTGAACTGGGGATTCCTGGCCAATGCCCCAGACCTGCTGAACCAGCATTCCTTAAGAGGGCCTCCCAGGGGTGCGTGGGTTTCGGGGCTGCCCAGCCCAGCTCATGTGCTCACCTGTGTCTCTGCCCACACGCGCCCCATACCATGCCCACTGTTGTCAATCCCTTAACGCAAAGCCCTTCCGGCCTCCATGCCTACATCCTTATGCCCCCACACTGACCCTGGGGGTGGCCCTTGGTGTTCTGCAGAGAAGATAGCGTCTACTGCTGTCCCACCCCTTGAGTACTGCCCCCCCATGAGGCTGAGGGGTTTTCCTGGAGGGGAGGGAGGGAAAAGGGAAAACTAGACCAGGTTTCAGGGGCAGGACACAGACGCAGGAGGCTGGACTGCCCCACCCTCCATCTGCCCACAAATCCTCAGCCCTGTGTGGTCAGATAGGGCTGGAAGGGAATGAATGCAGACCCCTGTGTGCATACAGGTGACACTGACCTGTGGCCTTTCTCTTGCATAACCACACCCCATTCCCTAGACACCCGGGTGCTCTTTTAAAACAAGTTCAACACTCACCCTTCTCCCCTCAACACCCACTTAAGACTCTTCATGTTCTTTCCTGATAAAGACCAAACTCCTGGCTGGAGCCCGCAGGCCCTGCCCACCTGGCCTCTGCCCACCTGGCCTCTGCCCACCTGGCCTCTGCCCACCTCTCACACCTGTCCCTCCTCCTTCCCTGACTTCCTGGACAGGCTGTCCTTGGTATGGGGCCTCAGCGGAGAAGAGGTGCCTCTGGCGCTGGGTGTTCACTCCTGCCTGGGCCACTGTCCACACCCATCCCCAACATGGGCATCTTTAACCACCCCTTAGCTTTTTCATCCTGACCTCTTCAGAGTAACTCTTACTGGGCCTGTGAAGCCGGCCAGGACCCTAGGGATGCTCTCCTTGAGACCACAGTGCTTCACCATCCATACGCTCAGCTCATTGCCCTTGAAATCACTTGTACCACATCAGGGCTCCTCACCTGGCTAGGGCTCTAGGAGGGCAGAGGCCACGTTTGGCTTGTTCACCACTGCTCCAGTGCCCAGAGCCAAGCTCCTGATGTACAGCAAGTGCTCAGAAAAGACATGAATGAATGAATGAATGAATGAATGAATGAATGAACGAATGAATGAATGGCACATAACTATGGTCTGAACCACATGCCTCGACATGGGCGATGCAGTCAGTTGTAAGTTGTGCTGCACATAACATAGTTGTGTGTGGTTTAATGTGTAGAAATTGGATTACAATTNAAGATCAAATAAGATCAGATGCTCCCTGCCACCCCAGTTCTCCTACAGAGACCACCAAATCCCACGAAGTGCGCACCACAAGGAAAACGAGCACAGGCTGGTCCTTGTGGTCTCAGGAGAACCACAGACTCATTTCACCCTGGGGTAAAAAAAACGCCAGCCAAGGCAACACTTCTGATTCTTCGGGCCTGCTAAAGGCAATTATCCTAGGGTTAAATGTCAGGGCTAGTTTCATGTGTGCAAAAGAAAGAAAATGTTATGTTTGGGGTAAGCAACAATATTATGTTAATCAAATCAAAAGCTCATTATTAGCAGCATCAATGGCCCCTACCTGGCTTCCCATCCACCTGGCTTCCCATCCACTTTGTCCCAATCTAAGGCTCTTCCCTGATTGTGCTCAGACATGGAGGAGGAAAGACTTGCACCATGGTCTCAACAGAACCTCACACTCAAAATCCACTGAATGGGGAATAATAGTTGCACTTCTCTCTTCCAGGACGGTTATGAATATTGAGATAATATATGTAAAGTAACTTAAATAATATCTGTCACATGAAGTGCTTGCTTATTGTTAAGTATTATCTATTTCTACAATGTTTTAATTTTTAAATTACAACCAGCACATATTACCTTTGCAAGAAAAAATGTATTTTTAAAAATAAGAAAATACAGTAAGAAAGAAGTGTGTGACACCATAAGTTAAAGGATTTCATCCATTAGACAAGAGGTTACCTGACAGAAAAGATCATATTATTTATCTTGCTCACCCCTACAGCCACTGCCTAGCACGTGGCAGACGATCAAACATTCATTGTGATGAATGAACGTACAAATGAATGTAAGAACGAACAGAGGAAATTTTCCTTAGGGGAATGGTTATGGAATGCCAAGTCGGGTTCAGTACAAATCAGGCAAACAGTTGTGGCATCTTGACCCGGCAACCTCAGAGGTTGACAGATGATAGACAAAGGTAATCGGATGACAGCTGGAAGTGGGAAATTATCATGCAACTTAAAACAAACATGTCTTCTTCATCTTCTCCTTAATACCGTATTTGTGTAAGAGTCCAGGTCTCCACCTGGCCCAGTCATCCCAGCTCCTAGTCTTCATAAAAGAATGATAACCAAACTAACAGACCACCAAACACATTTAGGAGCAAACATCTCCTAACATCTGGATGCTGTCACATTTCTCCTGGATTCATCACTCCAGGCAGGAAACTATGGAATAGTTCTGAAAGTTTCACTTCTGGAAAGGAGGTCCTGATTATTTGTGTACTGAGAGCACCAGGACCACTTCGCAGGGGAGCATGGAGCACACACCTGCCGCCATTTCCATTCCAAAGTTAGCCCAATACCACCACCGATGGGCACTGCCAACCCTCTCAAAGGAGCCCTTTGTTTTTAGTTTCACAAGTTCAGGAATCACTTCTAAATATGTCTCCCCCCAAGGGCAAAAAAGTGGCGAGTCAGGGGGAAAAGCAAGAAGATCTCTTTCATGTTGACTTTGAAAACCAAAACATCGTAACAGTAATCTCAGGGCAGTTATCATTGCTATCAGGGGCTTCAACAAAACAACTAAAACAACAGCAGAGAAGCTGAGCTTTACCAGCCTCAAGCAAGACCTGGCTCCAAGGAAACCATCGCTGCACCATCAGCTGGGGCTTTGTCCCACCCAATAGCTGGTTCCTACAGGCAGCAACCTTTTACTCCTTGGTCCCAGGGAACCAGGCTTTGTGGTTATTCCAAGGAAATGACCCAGCCAAAGACACTCGGACTTGGCCTAGGGAGCATCTCGTTTGAGTTTCACACCACTTTAAAGAGGTCTGTGGCATTTCTGCCTGAGCCACTGCTAACATCAGAAGATCCCCCAAAGCAGATGACATGGTGGATGACTGAAGATGCCTGGGATTTAACATTTTTAGATGTTTTTCATGGTATGCTAGATTATGTTATCATTTTAAAGAATATAAGCTGTTAAAAATATTAGGTAAACACCTAAAATTGCTTGGAAACAAATTAGCAGTGCATTTGAACACAGAAGCCTTTTTCTTTTGCTAAGCCTTGGACATTTTTACAATATTTAAGGCAGAAGTTCCCAAACAAGTTAAGAATTACCTGGAATGCTTGTTTAAAATATAGGATTCTGGCATATGGCATTGGAATCTCCAGGGGGGAGCCTGGGTGCTGAGATTTAACAAGCACCCTAGATGAGCTTCATGATCAGTCAGGTTTGGAAAAACACTGATTCAAGGACAAAAGAACGTTACCATTTGCAAGACAAGAAATGAAGAAAGCCCAATTTTAGAAATTTAAAGCTGGAGGGGAAATAAGAATAATGTCATGCTTTTGATACACCAAGAACAGACACCCTTGCAGACACGAAAGCACAATGAACCTTTCCACACCCCGAAGACCAGCAAGCACGGCTGCTTTCCATCCACCAGCCCCACGCACACCAAGGCGTCCACAAAGGTGCCCCCACCTCCTCTGCACCTGGCCCAGTTCTCCCATCTCCAGCCGAGTTAAGCATCTGCCTTGTCCCTTGACTCTATCTAAAATGTACTAATAAAAGAAACAAAAAAAGCAAATTTATTTCTACCCTCAGTGAGTCCATTAATGGGAGCTTCCTTGAGGCATATTTGGGGCAGTTTGCCCTTCTTTTTCTGGCTGCAAGATGCAGCCCAGGAACCTGACCACTGGCAAAGGTAGTCAGCTCCTCGTAGCCAAACAGGAAGGGGATCGAAGATGGTTCACAGAGCATCCAGGAGCAGGGGCAGGTGTGGCTGGGGTCTGTCAGCTGCAAGAGTCAGGCCCCAAATAACTGAAAGTTCATTGAGTGTTTGAAAGCCCCTTTCAAAGAAAAGAGAAGCTGCCATGGTCGACTAGAGAGAAGGGAAAGAGGAACAGAGAGGAGAAGAGCCAGCCCCCACTTAAGGCCATGGGTGCACCTGTTCCTCCGGAATGGGACCTGGAGAAGTGTTCTTCAGAAAGTACCAGAAAACATCTGGATTCACTGAATTTCTCAAACTCTCCTCTGCAAGGCCTGCAGAAGCCAGGACTGGGGCTGAGGAGAGTCTGGTGAAGGAGGGTGACTCCCACCCATCTCCCACCTCAAAGAGCCCTGTGCCCTGTGCCCACAGGGGCTCTGCAGTATAGGTCTCTCAAGGACAGGAATTCCTAATGGTAAGTCCACTCCTGGTCCTCTGGAAGCGCACGGCCCCAGCCACCCAGAGCAGCCTTGGAAAGAGCTGGCAGCTGCTCCCAGAGCACAGAGGGGATGCCATCTGCTGGAAAGACTGCGCCAGGTGCCTCTTGCCCCACACCCTCTGGGGCGTACCTGGGGACCAGCAGCCAGCCTTGGGGCAGAAACAGGCAGCAGATGTGTCTCTGGGTGCCCAGGAATAACTTGTCTCCTCCC